GCAATAAATGCAAGTCCACGTTTCACCCCTGCACGTACACAGGACACATTATTGTTACTTGAAAAAAAAAAGGGTTTTCTCTTAGAAAAAGAGTGGGGGAGGTTTTTTTTTTTAAAAAGAGAGGTGTTATTTTCAGCGTTCTCATAACAAAATTTTGGACTCATTTTAGAAGGGGAGGGTTTCCAAATTTTTTCTCTTCTAGGCCCCAGGGTGTAGGTTTAGGGGGGAATACCACCCCCCCAAATTCGAAAAAGGCTGGGGTTTTCTCCCAAAAAAAATTTTCTCCTTCTCCGGAAAACCGAATCTGGTGTCCTGAGGGTGGGCAACACCAGGGGTCCCTTACCCGTTCCCCCATAAGCCCGGTGGTTGGGGCATATTTTGGGGCAGGTTTCTTTTTTTTTTTGGATGGAACCAAGGGGGGGGGGGGGGGGATGTTTTTTTTTTACAGGTAATTTGCCCCGGGAAAGGGGGGTCGTAGGACCAATTTTCAGATGCCCCCTGGAACCCACAATTTTTTTTTCCAAACTTCTCCTTGGGAGGCAAAGGTTAGGGAAAGGTTTTTTTTGTCCATTTTTTCCATTCCCCTTAAACCCATTTATTGGGGCCCCCAATGGGCGGAATAGTGGTTTTAAAAAAAAAAGTTTTTGCCTGGACGGTAGGGTTAAAGCGGGAAGAAAAAAGGCCTGGGGAAAGGGGCACTGAATAAAATGTCACATCCATATTTTGGTGTTTTGGAACCCTTTTTTCCCGGATTTTTTTTCAGCCCCTGGGGGGTTTTTATTTTTATTTTTGGGGGTCCGGGGGGGGGTTCGGCCCGGACCCCCCCCCCCCCCCAAAAAGGGGGGGGGGGGGGAAGGGGGGGGGAAATAAAAAATAAAAACAAAAATAAAAACAAAAAAACAAAAATGAAATTTAAAATAATAGAATTCCCATCCAGCCATACTTTACCAAAAGGGAGGAAGCAAACTGGTTGAGAAAAAAGCGACATAGCTCAAACATTCGAGTTGGGAAAACCAAGGACAGATCGAAGTCACTCTGATCAAAATTGAGCTACAGGTAAAACAAGTCAATTCCGGTTCACAGCCTCAGGTCATAACCTGCGTTCGCAAACAAATCATTTCTGAATACTCCATTTTTCAGAAAATGAGAAAAAGATTTCCCAAGAAAAATCTCTAAAACGTGCTAATTTTGATAGCTTCCTACCTTACTCTATCCCCATGCACCGTAATTGTAAGCAAAATGTCCACTCTTCAACCCATTAACTTTCCAGTACATACTAACAGTAACAGTAAGTTAGAATTCAAACTACTTGGCCAAAAATACTATGCGTAAAAAAGAAAACAACCTGACCAGGGTAAGAAAAAAGATAAAGAAATCGTTTATCTTTGGGACATCAAGTAACTGAGAGTGCATTCATTGTTTCCTACGAAACAAAAACTTTCAGAAATTGTAACGCTTTATTCTGTTTGGTCCTTCGTGGAGTTGCTGTCTTTCAAAAATTCACCGGAACCTAAAATTTAAAAAAATAAGAAAGGTAGATTTAGTTTGAACAATAAAAACTCTGATCATCTGCAAAAGCTACATACAGACTATTATTTAAAAAACCTTCCCTAATCTCATTACATGTACTAATATCTGAGGAAGTAATTTTTCCTTAATTTTATTTTGTTTTCCCTTGCCCCTGCTCATATAAACACACACCCACGCGCGCGCGCACACACACTCACTCACACACACACACACACACACACACACACACACACACACACACACACACACACACACACATACATACACACACACACACACACACACAGTCTGCACTGCACGCGCCCAGTGTGCGTCACGAGCTACCGTCGTCATTATTGACAAGTCCTGCTGTTGACAGACCGCTGTCTGAAGGCCTGGTGTTCCTGCTGCGGCAGCCTGGTGAGCATATATTTGCCCAGCGTCACAGCACTCTGGCTGTCACCTCGAGATCAACCTTGGGTGGGTGAGGCGGGGGGGGGGGGGGGGTGCGTTTTGGAGGAAGAGGAAGGGCCCGAAGGTCGTAAGGTCATCAAGGGCTGTATTCTTCTTCCTCTTCTTCTTCTTCTTTTTCTTCTTTTTCTTTTTCTTCTTCTTCTTCTCCTCCTCCTTCTCCTTTTTCTTCTCCTTCTCCTTCTTCTCCTTCTTCTCCTCCTCCTTTCCCTACAATGACCTGCGTGGTGTCAGGTAGTAAGGCGTTAGCCTCATACAATATGCCCAAACTAGAAAAGCAACTCGGGACATATCGAAGTTGGAGCTTTTGGTCTTCAATGAAGACACTAAGAGGAAAAGAAAAATAGTCCAGGAAAATCGACGAAGACGAGGACCCTCAAGCAACGGACCTTAACCAACTTCCGCGCGTTGACAAAGCACGTGAACAACTGCACACTGCACCATTGCGTCCTCACAATGGAAACCAAGTTTGTGGAAAGGAGAAGGAGGGGGGAGCAGGAGAGAGAGAGAGAG